TGTAGACTTTGATTTTCTCCTGTAATGAAATTGTCGACTCTCAGTTATTTAAGTAAACTTAATCTGGAAACTGTCCCTAATTCTAAAGAAAGGCATATATATTACGTTCATACTCTGTATAGTTCCCAGAGTGAAAACGAGAAATGCAGTTCTCTGAGAAGAGTCCATTGTTTTGATGGTCAATCAACTGAACATGAGCAAGACTGACAATTCCATTGTCGTCATTTGTTGGGAAAATAATAAGAAAATACATCAAAACCTAGGAATATAGTTTATCTAAAAATAACAGTTTTAGTAATCTTAGTATTTTAAGTAAATTTTGCTTAGTCAGTATTTTTAAGAAATGCCACTTTATCTAGACAATTGCTTCTTGAAAGAAAAGCTATGACAAACCTAAATAGCATATTAAAAAGCAGAGACATCAGGCTTCCCTGGCAGGACAGTGGCTGGGACTCTGAGCTTCCAATGCAGGGAGTGTGAGTTCAATCCCTGGTTAGGGAACTATGATCCCATATGTTGCATTGCACAACCAAATAAATAAAGTAAAATAAAAATGTATTTTTTTTTTTTAAAGCGAGACATCACTTTGGCACAAAGGTCCACATAGTCAAAGCTATGGTTTCTCTAGTAGTCATGTATGGATGTGAGAGCTGGACCATAAAGAAGGCTGAGCACCGAAGAATTGATGCTTTCAAATTGTGGTATTGGAAAAGACTCTTGAGAGTCCCTTGGACTGCAAGGAGATCAAACCAGTCAATCCTAAAGGAAATCAACTTTGAATATTCATTGCAAGGACTGATGCTGAAGCTAAAACTTCAATACTTTGGCCACCTGATGCGAAGAGCTGACTCACTGGAAAAGACCCTGATGCTGGGAGGGATTGAAGGCAAGAGGAGAAGGGGGTGAGAGAGGATGAGACGGATGGATGGCATCACTGACTCAGTGGACATAAGTTTGAGCAAACTCCAGGAGATGGTGAAGGACAGGGAAGTCTGGTGTCCTGCAATCGAAGGGATCACAGAGTTGGACATAACTGAACAATTGAACAACAACAGAGGAATTCCTGTCTTGCTTGCCTGGTGAGGAGAGGGGCTGAGGATGTAGCCACACCACATGTCAATCTAATGTTAAATGGCTTCGTACAATTTTGATGACAAAATCTTGGTCTATTTCTAAATGAATAAGTGAAAACATTAAAATATTCAATGAGAATCTTGAACTAAATAATCTTCAGTTCAGTATTTAACAAGTGACAATGTAATTAGAATAAGATTCAGAAGTTTGAGATCATTTTTAAACTATGTCTATGTGACAGCCTTTACAGAAACTTTTTTTTTTTTAATCAACAAAGCTTTAAAATGCAGATTGGGAACAGCTTATTTTGATCCTGAAATATTGTATCAAGTTTCTTGCCTGGCATTAGAGACACAAGTGCAAGCCACAAAGATACCAGCTGTTACACTGTATCCCATAATTTCTTCTCTGTTGTAAGAAGGCATCAGAGCACAGATATCAATACACTAAGATCTAGAAAGCTGCCTGAATGTAATATTAAATCAAGTCAAAACAGGAACAGATGCCAATTATTCCTTATATCATAAAAAATCTGCTTTTATCCTATTAATAAATTTCACAAAATAAGTTTTAAAGAGTAATCTTTTTATATCTCATCTTGATGAAAATGAATTTCTAAAGAAATATTCTTCCAGTCTGCAAAAACCAAACAAATCCCCCAAATAAACAGTAACCACAATAACAAAAACAAAAACCACCTTTAAATACTGCTTTTTTTGGCTTCCAACATTTCTCTGGATTTTTAAATTATAATCACATGCAAAGTTCACATCATACTAGTGCTATATGCCAGAATAGAAACAAATATCCTTTACAATTATGCTTGATATGTTATGCAGAAGCAAAAGAAAAGGAGCCAATATGTAGAGGAGATGACAGATTAAGAAATACCATGAAATGAGCGGGCTTCCCTGGTAACTCAAATTGGTAAAGAATCTGCCTGCAATGCAGGAGATCTGGGTTCAATCCCTGGATTGGGAAGATCCCGTGGAGAAGGGAATGGCAACCCACTCCAGTATTCTTGCCTGGAGAATTCCATGGACAGAAGAGTCTGGTGGGCTACAGCCCATGGGATTGTATAGAGTTCATGGGATTGCAAAGAGTTGGATACAACTGAGCGACTAACACATACCACGAAATTAATGGAAAGGCAAACAATCACAGTGATTTCACTTTAGTTTTCTAACCGCTTATCTATCAATAAGCTAAAAGAAGGATACACTGAAAATTTAAAGGAAAGCTCTTTAAAGATACTCTGTATAAAAATCTAAATGTCTCATGAGCATCTATGTCTTCAGAAAATGTGTTAGTAAGAGAAATACAATCAGGATTCTTTATGTCTTGCTGGGAGAAAAGCAGCTATCTTCCAGATTATAGGTAGGATCTCATTAGCCTAATTCCAACCCAATTCATAACAAATGAGTTTTTGTTTTCTGTTTTCTTATTGATTTTATTTTTACAAAGTATTGAGCACACAACTCAAAGTAACAGTGGAATCTTCCTTTTAAGACTTGTATGTTGGGCTGAACCATGGGAAATCACAGATATTAGATTGTTTTTGCCTACAAATGGCAACATCATATGATTCAATCTAATATTACCCCTTATGTGGATAATAAATGTAGTCTTCAGTCTTATTATACTGTTTTGTAACACAACTCCAAACACCGCTACATGTTTATTATAAAAATTATCTTGCCCATAGAGAACAGACTTGTGATGGCCAAGGCAGGAAGATGGATTGGGAGGTTGGTTAGCAGATGCAAACTATTGTGTATAGGGTGGATAAAATAACAAGATAAAAACACAGGTTTTCTGTGTAACACAGAAACTATATTCCCTGTGATAAACCATGATGGAAAAGAATATTTTAAAAATGTATATATGTGTATAGCTGAATCGCCTTGCTGTACAGTGGAAATTAACACAACATCGTAAATCAACTACACTTCAACTTGGAAAAAAAAATTGTCTTCTTGAGGTCCTACCTACTCTGTATTCCTAAGTCGGTTGCTCAGCCATGTCTGACTCTTTGCGATCCCATGGACTGTAGACCACCAGACTCCTCTGTCCATGGGATTCTCCAGGCAAGAATGCTGGAGTGGGTAGCCATTCCCTTCTCCAGGGCATCTTCCTAACCCAGGGATCAAACCCAGGTCTGCAATGCAGGCAGATTCTTTATCCCTCTGAGCCACCGGTGAAGCCCTGGCATTCCTGATTTAGGGCCCCATAATGCAGACACTTGACTTTGATGCTTCTGCAACACCATCCAGGGACAGACAGCCTGCTCTCACCCGCGAGCTGGCATTTATGCTCACCTCCATAGCATACTATCGAGAACACCTGGATTCCTCAGTTCATGAGGCTTTGCAGAGTTTGAAGGGTACTGGCAGGGAGAGTGAGTCTCAAAGTTCAGACCAAAGACTTTTGATGATCTTGTATCTTCTAAGGCAGAAATATCCAATTTTAGTCTACCAACTACCTCACAAGAAGGCAACACATCTCAAAAGCCACCTATCTTTTGCTCCTCTCACTACTGGGGCAAAAACTCAACTCATCGGAATTTATAAATTTCAACAGCGGGTCCTTTGAGTAATTCATTGAACATAAATGTATTGAGCACCTACTATAAGCTAAGCACTGTGGCAAGAATTTGATGTCTAGTTAATCTTTAATCTCATAAATAACTTATTAATGCAGGAATGCTGATAGGGTTATTTTATAAACATGAATGTTGTAAGAGACAAGACCACAGACCTGCTTGAGGTCCTAGTGCATGCGTGCTAAGTCACTTCAGTCGTGTCCCAGTCTTTGTGACCCTGTGACCTTATAGAGCCCATCAGGCTCCTCTGTCCATGGAATTCTCCAGGCAAAAGTACTGGAGTGGGCTATCATTTCCCCCTCCGGGGGATCTTCCCAACCCAAGGATTGAACCCACGTCTCTTCTGTGACCCGCCCTGGTAGGTGGGTTCTTTACCACTAGCACTACCTGGAAAGTTACCAACAATTCTTGGGATTCTCTTTGACAGCCAGCCCCTAGGCTGACCCTCCAGCTGATTTCCTGTCTCTGGAACTTCTTATGACTGATCTGGGAGTCTTTTCTGCATGGCATTCACCCTAAAAGGACCCTTTAATAAGTAGACTTCTTTCTGACACAGGATAGACTCAGAATAGACTAGTTCTCTGCAGAATTCCTCTACAATAAATACAATTCTTGAGATCTACTGGAAAGTTTATAACATTGTAATGTCAAGGGCTTTTCTTGCTTGTTTTCTTTTTGGCCACATGTGAATAATTTACCCCAAGTGTTTAACTATACTGACTCTATTTCAGCAGTGTTGCCAAAGACCACGCCATCCCTCCCATTTGTTTTTAGGACGAGTTTTGCTCTAACAGAATTGATGGCAGAAATGATCTGCCTTGCAAAGATTAAGCACACTCAAACTGAAAGGTTAAAACTCTCAATTTTTTAAGACTTCAGATACACTGAGTAAATAAATTGTATGTATGCAAATACACCTTAATTTTTGGATTATCCATCAAGAGAGATGAACAAAGGAAAATGACTACTTTTCTTACAGCTTCTAAGGAGAACAGGAGTAAGTTTAGCACCTCTGAAAGATAATTAGCAAAGAAGGAAATCTCTTCTCTAACAGCACCTGAAATGTCACATGGACTACCTCAACAGGAGACGAGACAGGGGTGGATTCTCCTGCCCTCAAGGTCCTCAAACTACTTGTCTGGAAATTGGTACTGCTCCCCCTGGTGGCAATTTAGACACATTGTAAGTTGACTTTTCATATAAGGTTTTTTCTAAACTGTTAGGCTACTTAGTCAATTTTATAATCTTTTCTCCCACACACTTTTTAAGGAAAATGGATTATGCCAAACAATTAAATACCACTTAAATGCCAAAGGAAACTTACTGTGGTAGAATCAAAAGAAAGGATGTCCACAACAGGGGGAGTAGAGGTCTGCAAATCGATTACATCAAGCTTTGGATTAATCTGCATATATACATTAAAAAGGCTAATATTAGATTTTTATACCATAAGAAATTGGATGCCATTTGTAACAATCTAGAGGGTATTTCCTAATATGTTCTAAAATTAAAATATATTTGTATACTAGCATGGATACAAAATTTTTAAATATTAGCCTACTAAATCTATCAGTATGTAAGAAAAGATCATTGTGACCACGTTGAATTTATCCCAGGAATAAAAAGTTGTTTTTACATTTGAAAATCAATGGGATTCACCTATAAAGAGCTATTAAAAGGAAATTAAATGACCCACCTTAAAAGATGAAGAAAAAAATCCTAGCCAGTTCAGTAAGACAAGAAAAGGAAATAAAAGCATTAAGATGTAAGAATTGAAACAGAAGAAATAAAAATTGTTATTCATATATAATTATCTATAAAGAAATCACAAAAGAATCTACCACTAAATCATTAAAACAAGGGAGTTTACTAGATCCAAAATTGATACACAAAATCAATTACATGTCTGCACTTTAGTACACATAAAATGTAAATTTTTAAAAATCATAATTTACAATACTATAAAAATTTAAAAGTACATCAAAGAAAAACAAAGATGCATAAGACCTTTATGGAAAAATAAAACTCATGTAAAGATATTAAAGTTTATTGAAAGTTATACCATCTACTGGCACAAAGACAGAAATATAGATCAATGGAACAGAATAGAAAGCCCAGAGATAAATCCACAAACCTATGGACACCTTATCTTCGACAAAGGAAGCAATAATATACAATGGAAAAAAGACAACCTCTTTAACAAGTGGTGCTGGGTCAACCCACAAGTGGTCAACCATTTGTAAAAGAATGAAACTAGAACACTTTCTAACACCATACACAAAAATAAACTCAAAATGGATTAAAGATCTAAATGTAAGAGCAGAAACTATAAAACTCCTAGAGGAGAACATAGGCAAAACACTCTCCGACATAAATCACAGCAGGATCCTCTATGAACCACCTCCCAGAATATTGGAAATAAAAGCAAAAATAAACAAATGGGACCTAATTAAACTTAAAAGCTTTTGTACAACAAAGGAAACTATAAGCAAGGTGAAAAGACAGCCCTCAGATTGGGAGAAAATAATAGCAAACGAAGCAACAGACAAAGGATTAATCTCAAAAATATACAAGCAACTCCTCCAGCTCAATTCCAGAAAAATAAATGACCCAATCAAAAAATGGGCCAAAGAACTAAACAGACATTTCTCCAAGGAAGACATACAGATGGCTAACAAACACATGAAAAGATGCTCCACATCACTCATTATCAGAGAAATGCAAATCAAAATCACAACGAGGTACCATTACAGGCCAGTCAGGATGGCTGCTATCCAAAAGTCTACAAGCAATAAATGCTGGAGAGGGTGTGGAGAAAAGGGAACACTGCTGGTGGGAATGCAAACTAGTACAGCCGCTATGGAGAACAGTGTGGAGATTTCTTAAAAAACTGGAAATAGAACTGCCATATGACCCAGCAATCCTACTTCTGGGCATAGACACTGAGGAAACCAGATCTGAAAGAGACACGTGCACCCCAGTGTTCATCGCAGCACTGTTTATAATAGCCAGGACATGGAAGCAACCTAGATGCCCATCAGCAGACAAATGGATAAGTAAGCTATGGTACATGTACACAATGGAATATTACTCAGCCATTAAAAAGAATTCACTTGAATCAGTTCTAATGAGATGGATGAAACTGGAGCCCATTATACAAGTGAAGTAAGCCAGAAAGATAAAGACCAATACAGTATACTAACGCATATATATGGAATTTAGAAAGATGGTAACGATAACCCTATATGCAAAACAAAAAAAAGAGACACAGATGTACAGAAAAGAATTTTGGACTCTGTGGGAGAAGGTGAGGGTGGGATGTTTCGAGAGAACAGCATCGAAACATGTATATTTTCTGGGGTGAAGCAGATCACCAGCCCAGGCTGGATGCATGAGACAAGTGTTCCGGGCCTGGTGCACTGGGAAGACCCAGAGGAATCGGGTGGAGAGGGAGGTGGGAGGGGGGATCGGGATGGGGAGTGCCTGTAAATCCATGGCTGGTTTGTGTCGATGTATGACAAAAACCACTACAATATTGTAAAGTAATTAGCCTCCAACTAATAAAAATAAATGGAAAAAAAAAAGTTATACCATAAAGAGCTCAGAAGCAAAGCCCTGTATATATGAAAACCAAATACAAAATAAAAATGGTGCCACAAATCAATAGAGGAAGGATGACTTGTACCTGAGAAAACAGGCTCACTAAATAGATACCTAACACTACATAAATAAAAGATGGACAGCAGATAAATTATAAACCTAAATAGTATGTTAAAACTATAAAGTTAATAGAAGTAAATGTGTAAAAACATCTTTCTGACCTGGGGTAGAGAAGGATATCTTAAACTGAAGCTGCAAAAGTAAAGCCATAAGGCCAAAAAAATTAAAAACTGATCCATCTTGTTTATACCAATATTAAGGATTTCTGTTTCACAGTGGATACCATAAAGTTAACAGTCAGATAATGGAACAGGAGGAGATATTATGTTTGGCACTGGAAAAGGGCAGATATCTAAAATATATAAGAAAAACCTACAAATCAATGTGAAAAGAACAGAAGTCCTAAGAAAACATCACAGGAAACCTAATAGTTATGTAGAATATGAAGAGATTTTCAGAAACATTAGTAGTAATTAGAAAAGGGAAGCGTAAAGCAAAATCCCACTTAATACTGATCAGATTACAAAAGCTAGAAAGTTCAGTGATATGCTGACACTGTTCATAGAACATTTTTTCTAATGGCAAAAACAAAAACCACAATCTTGCAGAAACTAACACTACATTGTAAATCCATTGTCAATAAAATAAATAAATTCAAGAAACAAACCACAATCAGAAATCCCCAAATGTTTATCAACAGTAGAACAGATACATAATCATGGGAATTACTGTCTTAAATTCACTGGAATCCTATACAGCAGTGAAAATGAATAAAATACAACTATGTATAACAACATATGAAAGCATGAATTCAGAATCCATACACACAAATCTCAGGATTTTAATGTTAAATAAAAAAGCAGGTTATATGAAAATATACATAGTATGATTCCATTATATAAAGTTTAGAACTATCCAAAACGAAATAATATCTAATTATTGTTTCAAACATATACAGTAAAATTTAAAAGAAAAGCAAGGGAATAATAGAGTGGTGATTACTTCTGAGGGAGATTATTTCAGAATTGGGGGGGGGGGGGAAGGAAAGAAACCACAAGGTCATTAATTATTTACACTAAACGTTATGAATACAAAGCAGTAAACAAAGGGCAACAAAGATAGCAGAAGTTGGTATCAAATAAGTGCTCCCAACAAGTGGACTGCAACAGGCTTCCCATGGAGAAAAGAGAGCTTAAGATGACTTCTTTAGAAAAGTTAAGAAAACAAAAGCAAAGAGAGTCGGAGATGAGGTCCTGAGCCTCCCTGAGCCCAGAGAATGCTGGCACAGCCTGCTGCACCAGGCGGCCACAGGAGAGGGTGGCAAGCGTCAAACCGTGAGGGGTGAAGTCATTTGGGAAGGCACAGGAAAACTGGAGGCTAAAATGTGCTTTAGAAAGATTGTGCTGACGGGAACATGCGGAGCATCCAGAATAAAGTAGGGATGTAACAGTGAGGACAACACTGCACTTATCCCGGTGGTAATAAGGGCTGAACCCGTGGTAAGAGAAGTGGAATGATTTTAAGAGTGAATCTGCGGTAAGAGGAGTGGAATGATTTTAAAAGCACATATCATGTTTGATCGGTACAGCTGTGGCTTTGGAAACATTATGAAGTATTTACATTTATCCAGCCACTTGCGTTACAGGCAGAGGCGTACACACCCAATAATCCCCATACTGCAATAAAGAAGGAATCAGAACCACACAAGGCAATCTGTTTGGCCGCCTAAGTTTTTTCTGGCCATTCCGTAGAGCAAAACGCACAGCCTCCTTCCCATCAGCTCTGGGTCCAGAGTTGAGGCAAAGGTAAGAAACCTGAGGCTGACTTGCTTTCCTTTCAATGGTGAGCTAGCTGTCCAGAAAGTGCTTGCAGACACCTTATTTTCTTTTATCTACTGCCATCTAGTGTAGATATGAAATTGTTAACCAATGAAAAATTCAATCTGCTTTTGCCATCTGAAACAAGAACTGCTCCAAAAGATGAAATCATATGGAAACAATCAGCGTCTCTCAGAGAGAAATCCTTGAGCTTCTACAGGCTGGGAAATTCTTGCTGTAACAACATTTTACTGTCTTGTGCTACAAGTTGCTGCCACATTCATTAAATGAAGCGGGAAAGTCTCACTAAGTAAAAGTTTATAGTCTTCTCCACAAAGAAAATATGCTGAGACAGTGACACTTACAGTTAAGTTCTTTGCAAGCTAATCTCCACGAATATTAACAGTACCTTCTAGCTCTCCATTTTTATTGAAGGAAATAATGCTTCAATACAGTTGCCTTGAAATGGGAATCACCTGCCTTATGAGAGGTTGAGTTTTCCATCACTGAACAAAGGATTCATGCATGATGGAGGATTAATACAGGTGCCCTCACAGATTCCATCCCATGCCAAGGTTCTGGTATATCCACCACAGTGAGGTGTTCATGAGCTAACAAATTCTGAAGAGTAAGAAACATGCCCATCCTGTCCACTGTTGCATAATCTAAAGCTGCTATGATGTCCAGTATTTGTTAACAGGATGAAATTAAATTTTGATTCTGTTGAAGCACTGCATGAAAATAGTTAAAGGTACAGAATGGAACCAGGGTGACTGGTTGCAATTCTCAGGCTGCTGATTGCTAGCTCTAAGATTTAACTTACACGGACCTCAATTTCTCATGGAATGGAAATAGTGCTTACTTTAGCTTTTAGGAAGACTTAAGGACAGTTTATGTAAGGCAATTAGAATAATGTTGCATGCATTAG